GGCAGCCCAACACCTGGGGAAGGCACAGCTGCTTGCTCTTGGCTGAATGCTTCTCCAAGGGCTGCCTTTCCCAAGGAGACCTCCCCGATTCATGTAGCAAGGTCAGCAGCCACTAACACCGCTGTTTAATCCTGTCCACGTGTTCTCTGTGTCCCGTGCATGGCAGAACACGCTGTCAAGGCTGGAAGCAGCGCTGTGCTCTGAATGCAACAGGCACTGGCAGGAGGCCCTGTTCTTTTTAGGGTTGAACATTGCCTTTACCATCAAGGGCTTGTGTTTTCTGTATTTCCCTCACGGTGGGCAGAATCCTACCCACTTACGGACAAAGCTGTAGGAGATGGCCCATTAACGGATCTCCTTCCTCGCACATCTAGGTACTACGCAGCCCCCATCTGCAGAGACCTCAGGATGGTGATTCTGGGAGACGATGGTGGGGAGGGACAGGGCAGGGAGAAGAGGGTGCTGGCTAGGCCAGCTCCTCTGGTGCTGCAAACTCATACCCAGGCCTTGACTTGGGTGTTCCACCCCTTGGCACAGCGGCACAGGCCTCCCTCCTCATACCAGCGCCACTTCACCCCCTTGTACACAGCCCTGCTGTACGGCTGGAAGCACATGAAGAGACGGAGGTGCCTTGCCAGGCTGCAGTAGATAGCCATGGCCATCACAATGAGAGGCGACATGATGACGAAGCCAAGGATGATGAGGGCAGAAGAGCTGTTGTCATCTAAGATGCTTTTGCAGTAGCGGGAGTTTGAGTGCAGCACCTGTGGGAAGAGAAAGAGTTTGTCACAGACCTAGGGGTGGACAGGAGTAGTGACCAAAGTACCCTTGAGTTTCTGGTGCTTTCACAGAGCGACATACCTCTTCCCTCCCCCCGAGCTTTGCTCAGCAATCTTCAGGCTGCACTCTGTGGCTGACAATCCATTTTAATCAAGCTTTCAATTATTCTGGCCTCGCTGTGGGACAAGAGCACCGCACGCGGATCCTGAAGCAGGGAACCCTAGTCTTTATTAACTCACCAGAATGGCACAGCTTAGCATCCGATAGGCAGAAACCAAACAAAAAGGCCTCCTGCTCCTACATCGATGTGGGTGGCACAACACACGGGAAATTACAACGAAGTAAATAAAATACAGCAAGATATTAGATTCTGCAGACAGTGCTGGTCATTCATAGCTACCTGCTGGCTGGAGACTCTCCAGATTCCTGCCCTACGGCTGCCCTTTGTGTTCTGCCTTCTGTGTACACGCTGTACTCATCCCTACCTCCTAGCATCGATTTGCACTGCAAAACCTGCCAGGGAAGCCTGGTCACCCATGTTGCTGCAAAGCATCCCGGGCACTAACTGGTCCTCGCTGCCTGGTGTTTGAAGCCCTCCTTTCATCCTAGAGCTCCCAGTCAAGCCACTCGGTTGTTCTGGCATTAACAAATGCTACAGGGCAACCCCCACGTCCCCTAGCTGCCTTTCCTCTTTCCATATTCAGTACAAGAAACGCAACCTATCATACTAAAAAAAGAATCCATCTAATGGATCTGCAGTGCAGAAACCTGCCTCGGTCTACTAGGAAGGCACTGAAAAGCATTAGCAATGCTCTTGTCAAGCCATACTGCTGCAATCCCTCTCTACGCCTATTAAAGAACAGTCTGGGTTAAAAGACTCCTTACAGCTCACAGCCACACAGTTGATTTCATTTCTGATGCTCTTGGCTGTACTTGAAAACCTTTTGCATCTCCTCAAAGCCTTCAACTGGAGAACGCTGTATGTTCGAAGGAGAACTCGAGGTTTTCCAAGGTGAGGGTCGAGCAGGGGGAAGCTGGAAGGGTTAATTCCAGGAGGCAGTCCTCATACTTTTTCCAATTTTGAGTCCAATTTGAAGTCCGTATTTATGGCTTTCAAGGACCAGTTTCAGATGACGGGAAAAATTGATTTAAGGGCTTTACAGGCTATTAAACCTCCTATTGAACCTACCCTAAAAAGCCTCGTGTCTTACAGAATCTGTATCCACTGGGCACTTGTGGAGACAGACCAGCCATTTCACCAAGGCAATGGCCCACACTGCACTTTCTCCCAAGGAGAATTTATTAGGTTATTTCTCACCAAGACTGACTCTTCAATAAACCAGAAGTCATTCTACACACCTGCCCTTTTGTATGCAAAAATGCCAACAGCCGTGGACTGTAAAAGGGAGGTGTTGCAGCCCACAACTGAGAAGGGTTGCATGATCGTTCGGGTAGATCAGGACCCCCCTGAGCCACTTTTGCTCTCTGCAGGCCCTCCAGAGCCTCCCACTTCACCCTGTTGGCCATCACACACACTTTTTTTTTTTTTTCATTGGAAAATACCTTTAAGATCATCGAGTCCAACCTTTAACCTAACCCTGCCATCCCACCACTAAACCATGTCCCTAAGCACCTCATCCATCCTTCTTTTAAATCCCTCCAGGGATGGGGACTCGACCACCTCCCTGGGCAGCCCATTCCAGAGCCTGACAGCCCTTTCTGTGAAGAAGTTTTTCCTAATGTCCAACCTAAACCTGCCCTGGCACAAGTTCAAACCACTTCGCCTCATCCTAACGCCCGTTACCAGGGAGAAGAGGCTGACCCCCACCTCACTACAGCCTCCTCTCAGGCAGTTGTAGAGGGCGATCAGGTCTCCCCTCAGTCTCCTCTTCTCCAGACTAAATAACCCCAGTT